CACACGCACGCGCGCGCGCGCGCACAGGCACACGCACGCACACGCACGCACGCACTCACGCACGCACGCTCGCACGTATGCACGCCCGCACGCCCGCGCGCGCAGACGCGCGCATGCGCGCGCACGCACGCGCTCTTGCGCACGAGAGCACGCGCGCATGCCCACGCGCCCGCGCACGCCCGCGCGCGCCCGCCCGCGCGCCCGCGCGCGCACACGCGCGCACACGCGCGTGCGCGCACACGCACATTCACGCACGCACACGCACGCACACACACGCACCCACTTACGCACTCACGTGCCCGCACACGCACACACGCACACGCACGCACGCGCACACGCGCGCACACGCCACACCACGCGCCACACCACACACCACGCACCGCACCCACTCCCACACCACACTCGTGCCCACACCCGCACCCACACCCACGCCCAGACCCACGCCCGCGCCCGCGTCCACGCCCACACCCGCACCCACGCCCACGCGCGCACGCCCGTGCCCACACCCACACCCACACCCACACACCCACACCCACGCCCACACCCACACCCACACCCATTCCCACGCCCAAACCCACACCCACAACCACGCCCACACCCACACGCACACCCACACCCGGACACGCGCGCACACCCGCGCGCGCACTCGCACGCGCGCGCGCACGCGCGCGCGCACGTGCGCACGCGCCGCGACACGCTCACGACGCAACACATGCGCGACCACCACGCACCGCACACGCACGCGCACACGCACACGCACGCGCACACGCACGCGCACAAGCGCACGCACACGCACACGCACACGCAGACTCACGCACACACACACACGCACACGCACGCGCACGCGCACGCGCGCACGCACGCGCGCGCGCACACGCACGCACGCACGCACACGCACGCGCACACGCATACGCATGCGCACACGCGCACGCACGCGCACACGCACGCGTGCACACGCACGCGCACGCGCGCGCACGCGCGCACCCACACGCACGCGCACGCGCGCACGCACACACACGCGCACGCGCAAGCGCACGCGCGTGCGCAGGCGCACGCGCACCGCGCGCGCACGCGCGCGCACCGGCGCGCGCACCGCGCGGATTGCGCGCACACAGCGCACTGCAGCGGCACACGCGCACAGACGCTAACGCGCGCACAACGCGCACGCGCGCGTGGGTGCACGCGCGCACGCGCGCCCACGCGCACGCGCGCACGCGCTGCACGCGGCGCACACGCGCACGCGCGCCACGCGCATGCGCACTACGCGCACGCGCGCACGCGCGCACGCGCGCACACGCGCACCGCGCACGCGCGCACGCGCGCAGCGCGCGCGCTCACGCGCACGCACGCGGCGCAAGCGGCCCACAGAACGCGCGCACGCACGCACACACACGCACACACGCATACACGATGCACGCACACGCCGCACACAACGCACACACGCACACACGCACGCGCGCACACGCGCACTCACGCACGCGCGCGCGCGCACGCGCGCACACGCGCACGCGCGCACACGCGCGCACGCGTGCATGCGCACACACGCACGCACGCGCACACGCACTCTCGCGCACACGCACACGCGCACACGCACGTGCGCACACGCGCACACGCGCACATGCGCACACGCGCACACGCGCACACGCGCAAACGCGCGCACGCGCACACGCGCACGCGCGCACGCGCACGCGCTCACGCGCACGCGCACGCGCGCGCGCACGCACGTGCGCGCGCACGAGCGCACGCACGCGCGCACGCGCACGCGCGTGCACGCACCCACGCACGCACGCACGCACGCGCACGCACGCACGCGCGCGCACGCGCGCACGCACGCGCGCGCGCACGCACGCACCCGCGCACGCACACGCACGCACGCGCGCACGCAAGCACACGCGCGCACACGCGCACGCACGCGCACACGCACGCGCACGCGCACACGCGCACGCACGCACACGTTCACGCACGCGCACGCACGCACGCACGCACACGCACCCGTGCGCACACGCACGCGCACGCGCGCACACGCGCGCACGCGCGCGCACACGCGCATGCGCACGCGCACGCACGCACACGCACACACACACGCACACGCACGCACACGCACGCACACGCACACACACACGCATCCACACAAGCACGCACACGCGCGCACATGCGCACACGCACGCACGCAAACGCACGCGCGCACACACGCACAAGCTCGCGCGCACGCACGCGCACTCGCGCACGCACATGCACGCGCACGCGCACATGCACCCGCACACGCGCACGCGCGCGGGCACGCGCACGCGCGCGCACGCGCGCACGCGCACGCACACGCGCCCGCGCAAACGCACGCGCGCACGCACGCGCACACGCGCGCGCGCACGCGCACGCACGCGCGCATGCGCGTACGCAAACGCACACTCACACGCACACGCGCACGCACACGCACGCGCGCACGCACGCGCGCGCGCGCGCGGACGCGCACGCGCACGCGCGCACACGCACGCCCACGCGCCCAGGCACACATTCACACACACGCACACACGCGCACACACACATTCACACACACAGCCGCACACAGACACACACGCACCCACGCGCGCACACACGCACGCGCGCGCACACAGACAGGCACGCATTCACGCACGCACGCGCGCACGCGCGCACGCGCGCTCCCACGCGCGCACGCGCGCACGCACGCGCGCGTGCACGCTCGCGCGCACGCGCGCGCGCACGCACGCACGCGCGCGCGCACGCACGCACGCACGCACGCGAGCACCCACAAACTCACGCGCGCGCGCGCACGCGCACACACGCACACGCACACGCACACGCACACGCAAACGCACACCCCCCACACCCCCGCGCACACGTACACGCACGCGCGCACGCACGCGTGCACGCACACGCACACGCACGCGCGCACGCACACGCACGCGCACACGCACGCGCACACGCACACGCGCGCGCGCACGCGCACGCACACGCGCACGCACACGAACGCGCGCAGGCACATGCACACGCGCACGCACGCTCAAACGCACGCGCGCACGCACGCACGCACGCACCGACCTCGCGCGCACGCACGCGCACGCGCACGCGCACGCGCACGCGCGTGCGCGCACGTGCACGCGCACGCGCGCACACGCGCGCACACGCGCACACGCGCACACGCGCACGCGCCGCGCGCGCCCGCGCGCGCGCGCGCGCGCACGCGCGCACACGCGCACGCGCGCACGCGCGCACGCGCGTACACGCGCACGCGCGCACACGCGCACACGCGCACGCGCACACGCGCACACGCGCGCACGCACACGCACACGCACGCGCACACGCACACGCACGCACACACACGCGCACACGAACGCACGCACGCGCGCGCACGCACGCGCAGGCACGCACGCACGCACACGCGCGCACGCACAATCACACAATCGCACACAGTCGCACACAGACATGCACAACCACACGCAATCACACACAAGCAC